ACACACCAGAGCCACACCAGAGCTTGGCCACAATCAAAAACAGTAGCAAGAAACTGGAAATACTTCAAGGATCAGAGATGACAAGCAACAGAACATGAAGCCCAACTGCAGTTTCATACCTCATGATCTAATTCAGTTTGTGGACTTATAAGTAGAAAACTACCATGTAACTACAGGGTCTTGATTTTACCATTGGCAGGAGTAAGATGTAAACTTGGCTACTTTGTGCAGTTCTGAGGTCCTTCATTTTAAAAGGATGTTGGGAAGTTGAATGATTTTAGGGAAGGACCACAAAAATGATTTAAGGACTAACAGTTGCAGCCCCAGAGCTACTTAGCTTTTCAGAAAGTATCCTGAAATCTGATTAGAGCATTTAACTCACAAGAGAAATGGTGGGCTCCTTTTTTGTTGTTGCCAAGTCATACCTTGATGCCTTCCCTTGCAAGCAATATATTTTTAGACTAATGTGTTTTAGACCAATACCTGCTTTTTGGCTCAGGAGACAACAGAGTGAGTGAAAACGGGTGTAATAGGTTGTGCTACATTAAATGGTGGCTGTTACTAATCTAAAGGTTTCCAAATCTTAGGAAATGATACAGTTAATAAGATAAAATACAGCCAGAGGAGTAAGGAAATTTGGAGAACTGCTAGGCCATTCAGCATTTTTTCTGTAAGTTAGATACAATCTTGAGCATAAGGTGACTGATGTTGTAATAATCACATATTCAGCACTGCTACATCTACATGGGTGCTAATATTTTCATTTAAAAAAGTCCTTGCTACATAACTTTGAAGGAAAAACTGTAAAATATTGTCCTGTAACTAACAACTCTCTTCACCACAACATAACAGAGCAGTAAATCACCAGAACAGGGATGCAGGCTTTTGTTTTGGTTTGGTTTTTTTCTGGTAAGTGCTTATTTTCTCCTACATACATGCCACATATGCAGGGTAATTTGTTATGTTAATGGTACAGGTGATGGCATCAGTATTTTCTCCATTCCACTGGGCTATATACTCCTAAATAGTTGAGCCCAGGTACATGTCCTGCATTTGAGGTTCATGTCTCACTCATGTCCTCATGCAATTTTTGGCCAAGACTGAGGTGTACAGCTTCCTTCTTTTCACCACATTCTTGAGAGAGGGAAGTAAAGACCAACAGTGGCAGGAGGGACTTGGCCAAGTACCCAATCCATCTACACATACTACAATACTTACGTAGCCAGTGTGACATAAAATACATTGGAGAGTGCCACAGATGTTTAATTAGCAACTTCTTAATTAAGATCTATAAACGGCTTCCAACAAATGCATTAAAAACTAGAAGATGAGAAAAGCATTCCTGCTAACTGTGCTGTCATAGAAGATTAGACGCTGGGAAATGTGCAGAAAAAAGGTATTTCTTAAGCTCTTCGGAGTTTTGGTTGGTTTTTAATCTTCAGGAGTCTTTCATCTAATTTTCTCTTGAGTAGGCCTCCAGGAAGCACACAGTACCACCATCCATTCATAGCATCTCTCTGTTACAAAATACTTCTACATGCTTGTGCTAATTCCTTCTGTGATACTGTCAGCATACAAAATTATCACTTCTTCTCTTTCATTTTAATGCCTTAAAATTAAACAACTGTAAACAGATTTTACAGTTTTCTAGCCCTCAATGACTTTACTTAACATTAAAAGCCAATGGACTGGTAAAACATATGCATCAAGTTGTACCACTCAATTTCTATTTATATCCACAGACTGACAAGAAGCAACTCCAGATAATCCTGTTTACGTGCTTAAGTGAGCAGGACCAGTGAAGAAGCCTTACAAACTCACTCACAGCAGTGTAAGGGGCTGCAGATGAATCTCATCAACACAGGGATCATTAGTTCCATTAGAGGAACAAAACAGCATCTTTTTAGGAGGGTATCATAACCGACTGCTGTACTCTTCCTCTGTACAAAAACTCTTCCTCTGTTTTTGTATACTGCTTTACTCCTCATCTGACTGCCAGTGCTGTGATGAGTGAGATCATATTAGTGAGATCAGAACTAAAGCCCTGGACTATATTTTTAGGAAGAAAATATGTCACTCCTGTTTCTTGGTTATAATAGCCTCAGTAAAGTTTTAAGTACATTATTTGAAAAGTCATCATGCAGCACATTGGCTGCTTTGTGACAATACAATGATTTTATCACTCCTAAATTTTCTCTTTACACTGCAAACAGAAGAGAAAATCAGGCACCACTATTTTACTCCATCTATCTGCATTAAAAATATCTTACAGGCACAGCTGTCCAAAACACTTTTCAGAGGCATCAATTTCAATTACCTTTTATTCAACCACAGCTGCATAATTATTATTATGTACTGGATACAGCATATGTCTATAAAATTTAAAAAAATATTTTTTACTATTGTCACTAGAGTTAAGAGTTTGTATTTCAGATGCAGACAAAAAATTAACAGAAACTGCTGTTTTCAGACACTTGGATGTAAGAGACGGTATTAATTTTAGGGAAAAACAGTCATTTGCTTTTTCTTGCTAATATTGCTCCAAGGTCAGAAAAGAGGTGAACGGGTTTTGTTTATTTCAGTTAAAAAAGCCATGTTAATTCAAGAATAACATTATATAGGTGATGTTAGAAAACATTATATGGGTGATGTTATACAGGAATTAACCAGATATTTGGATTAACATCTATGGATCTGTGTAAAATTTACAGAGGACTCAAGGCAACATGTTACCTTGTCAAAATATTTCACTGGGACATAAGTTTGATCAGGGACAATTGAGTATTTATTGATTCATTTTGTTTTTCACTTACACCACTGTATGAGAAAAATCAGGCACATGGAGCAAAAGCTGTACATACAGATTCATCCACCTGGTGCTACAGCATTCCTTGAGTTGGGACAGAGGACACGTTCAGCAATTCTCACATTCCGCATGTGCATGCAGTGGTTTAGGTAGTGGTTTGTTATAGGTCTTTTTTCAGTTGCTGGATGTACACTATCTGCACTGCCTGCTGGAAAATTGTCTATCCACACAATATTCTCCTTTCTGATTTCTGTTTTCAAAGTGTATGGAATAATTGCTACCATTGTCACAGTCATCTTTCATCCTTGTAGGTAAAGGACCTTGAACAATGATTACAGGAATCAGACAGCAGCAGATAAGCATAAAAATGTTTAAGAACCTTTGTTTTAAAGCTACTATTTGGATTATGTGGAGTTTGTTTTATTCTATTTATTTATTATTTTATATAATGTACTCATTCCTCAAATTCTTTCCCCTTCCTATTTAAGAACTGGAGTATCGCTTCTAGGCACATTCCCTTTCTCCTTACCTGTGAAGTATATAAAGCCTCCGTTCTTGCCAGCCTGTATTAAGCACTGCAATACAATTATCCTCAGTCAGTGGACTGTTATCTCAGGAAATTGAATTAGACTTTCTAGCTTAGAGAACATCAAATTATTTACACAAAATGTTATAGTTGAAACAGATCCAGATTAGAGTATAAAATGATGGTTAGGGTAGTAAAGACTAAAAAGATCAAGTGACTGATTTGAAACAGAACTAAAAGTCAAATCTGAATCTGAGGGTAGCTGTTGAGAGTCTTATCAAGCTGGCTATTGCCTATTCAGAAGCATGGAAAATTAGTTTTCTATTTAGCCTTTCCTCTAAATTCCAGCTATAAAAGTTTCCTCGAGGAAGGTTTGTTTGTGACCAGTAGCAGTTCTGAGGGAAGTTTCAATGTTGGCTTTTCACAAGCACAAGCTATCAGAATTTTCAGTTAAGAAACATGAAACTGAAAAAAAAAAAATGAAAAAAAAAAAAAGATTCCTTAGACTGATGTTCAAAAACCCCCTAGTAAGTCCTTCTGTTTTGGTATCTTGAACATAATGGTTACCTATGGAGGCAGAAATGGAAGTGTTGACCAAATCACAGAATCATATAAATTGGTTATTTTCCTTAAAAAAGGTGTAATATATTTAATTTCTCTCTCTGTTTCAACACAATCTACAAACCTCTGACATTTCCTCTCAGAAAAAGACTATCTTAATTGGCTTACTGCCCTTATAGCTGAAACACGAAATGATTAGTTAGCATGTGCTATGCATTTTAAATCAATACAGTTTGTCACAATTATTTAAGATTACAGTGTCAAGAGTATGTCCATGTATCTTTCATCCATGATGGCTTTATCATATATATTCCTGATTGTTCTAGGCAAAACCTGATTGCAGTTTAAATTTGCTTTATGTATTTGATTTTACTTGGATTACCACTCTAAAATGTGACAAGGAATCAACATGGAACAATGCTTAAGACATTTTCAAGGTAAAATATTCCCTAATAGATTTACAAGTTTTTCAGTAGTACTTACCTCATATCTAGATGTAATTTCTTGCCTCCACCCTCCAACTTATTCCCATCAGTTCCCATTCACCATTCACTCCCCTGACCATTATAGTCTCAAATACATGCTGGTTTAAAGCAGCCTCCTGCCAAGGGCAGCTTGTGCTACATTTGAGATTGAGCCAAGAGGGCCCCCCTCTCCTGGGGGTCCCTGAGCACTTCCAGGCCCCCTCCTGTGTCCAGCTGCCAGGGCATTGATGAGCACCTGCAGGTCAGGGGAGGCCCTGAGCCAAACTTGCTCCCACTGGAATCACAGCAAAATTTGGCTGAATTCAGAAGGATGGAAATTAACTCAAAGGATGAAAATATAAAAATAATGCTGTGGGATGCTGATGCTGGATAGTTTCTTCTGAATTTAAAGTGAGGAAAAAATGAAGTGAAACAGAAAAAGGTGATGACAGGTATAAGATGATATGTTATCCCTCCCCAGAAGTAAGGTTTTACTTCTTTGCCAGACAGAACTGTAGTGTCTGTTGTCATTACTCTCCTTTTTCATTATTTAAATTGAAATAATTTCTGAAAAACATTTCTTCCCTTTTTCCCCATATACAGGCTAAATTATAAACAGGTAGAGGTAAGTATAAAATCCAACCTTTATTCCACTTTGAACAAGCTTGTGTATATCCAAAAAAGGTTCCTTGAGTATGTCTCCTTCAGGACTGAAAATCTTCACATATCCTTCTTTCTCAAGAATAAAGAGGCGATGGGATCCATCCCCACAATGTACTGCTCCAACAGGCTGCCTCAGTCCACTCACAACCTCCTGAATACAGAAGCAGTTGTGCTTGTGTTTTCTAAAATAAAACAGAAAAATAGTGAGAAATTTCTTCTTTCTTCTAACTGTGACACGACAATGACCCTAAGAGATAAAATAAATGCTCTGTAGCAATATTACAAACACAGTTAAACAATCCAGAGTAAATTATTTCCTTAAATGTATGTGAGCAGATAATACTGAAAATCACTTTGATCTTCACTTGAGCAAAATTTGGTACGTACAAAAGAAAACCAATTCATCATATCTGAAATGTAGAGGAACAGCAGAGAAAGAAACTGGTAAAAAAAGGAGAACAATTTGTAAACACAAAATTTCTACTGTACAATAAATACAGTAAATTCCAGCAATTTCATAACATTTGGCTTCTAAACCCCATTTAAAAATAATAGCTTATGATGGGACAACTCTAATTTCATTATTTTCACAAATAAAATTACATGAATGAAAGAAATGGAAAGTTGTGAAATAAATATTTTACTAATAAACTTATTGTAGTTGTTTAGTAATATTAAATTCAGGTAGAAATGACTTCCTAAAACTCCGTATGATCCAGAGGGTGGACCATAACCAAGATCCACAGGGTGGATCAAACCAGGATTCTAACACCTTTTCAGCAATGCAAATATCAAATGGTACTGAAATATTGAAGCTAATGTAACTTTCTCTTTGACGTACGCTAGCGGCAGCAAAAGAAAGTAACATCTGGAAAACACAGCTGCTGAGCATAAGCACACACTGAGCTGTTTCACTGTGAAAACCACAGGCTTTGCTAGGGGTTTTTTTTCAGATTAAACAGCATTTATCTTTATGAACCTGCTGATCTCTTCCTCTTTGTCATATTCTTCCATGTGGTCCAGGGAGTTAGAAGCTGGCCCTCGCACTTGTTTTCTTGGAAAATCTGGAAAGCATACACCACCATCCTTTCTTGCATAGTAAAAGCAAAACTCATCAGCTGTAGTTTGGAGGAAACCTTCAAAATGGAAAAGAGCATACAAATATTTAGTGTGTTGTCATGTCTGCAGTTTCGTGTCATCAAGCTAATCTTTAAATAGATTATATATTGAATGAAAAAAACAAGTAATTTTAAACAAAGTGCTATCTGCAAAAAAGTCCTGTTCTGAATAAATACAAACTGAGTAGATTACCTTTTATAGGTTATTCATCTGTATTTGTATTAAGCCTTATTTTCAGTGTGCTTAAATAAAAATACCAGTTCATTCAAAACGACACTACAGTTCACTTATTAAATTATTAAGAGACAAAGTTCAAAGTTGAGGCTGGGATATACTTTTCCCTGATTTTAACCCCGTTAAGTGTCTTATCAGCTGTAAAATAGCTTGAGCAACTTTCATTGAACCTCTTTTTTTTCTGAAGTGGCTTGGTGTAGTAAAAATTTCAGTTAAGACTTTAGAAAAAGGCATTCAGTAAACACTTTGTGGGATGCTGGCAGCAAAGGACATCAGTCGGAGAGGTAAATAATTAATTGTCTCCGAAAGTGAGAAGTACTGGTGAAAACTGCACTGTGTTGACATGCAGTTGGCCTCTCGTTAACTCCCAGCACTAGAGCGGGTGAACACAGTGCTCCATGGTGAGGTCTCCTCAGCTCCATCCCCTGAAAAGTGTGCTATGTTTCGTGCTGCATTGGAGTTGACTTTAAGCTGGCTTGGAGGAAAGGTGGTCTTTAGGTTTTAGGTTAAAATGGGAAGGAGTTTGAAGACCCAGGGAAGCAAGAAGTTCATAAAATGAGAGCCTCTGAGGAAAAAGCCTGCCTTTATACTGATACTACACTATGTGTAATGATAGCAGAAATATCTATTTCTGTCCACAAACTTACTTCTAATAATTTCCATGCAGATTTTAATCTTTAGTATTAAATCTAAGAAGATAGATAGAATTTCGCTAGTTATTGTTAAGATAGTATGTCTTATGTTACCTTCATTCCTTTTTTGCATTATTGGCATACTGTGTTAGGATGTATTATGGTCCAGGACATAACTCACAGGATACCCGGAATTATAACTTAATTGGAATTAGAGGCCTAATTTATTCATGGCTTTACCACTCATGAATAAAGCAGTAATCCATAGATCTTAGCTATAAAACCTCTGGCTTAGAATGTACAATAAGAGCTGGTCAGGGACAGCTGTGTTGCACTGAAAAATGCCAATTTCTTAAAACAAAAGCTTTTTCAGAAACTTTATCAGTTTTGACAAAATTTTAGTTAACAGGATGTTTCTGGTCCAAACTCAAACTTCTGGGCTAAATGAAAAAGAGAAACAAACAGCAAACCTCACATCACTATACTCCAATGTCTTGTAATTAGGGTGTTTCATTAGAAAGAGGAATATTCAGGTCAATGTCCCTCATCTGTCAGGCAAGAGGTTGACCCTAAGTCTCCCATTTCCCAAGTAAATGTCCTAACAACGACTTTATTAGCTATCCTGGGGTGGTCTCTGTGGCTTTCTTCATGGAAAATTTCGAAAGAGTTCAATTTCTTCCTTATGTGGAATAGGAAAATTTTTTAGATCCCAGAATTTTTGTGGAGTGAAAAGCCTTTCCCACCCAACTATACTTCTTTTCATATGCATCTTCCTTGAAAAATATTGGAAAAATAACATGACAAAGCCTGCCTTTGGTTCTATAAAATGATATCTGGAAACACATGGTAGTGCGTTGTGGCGTAAAAGTTTAATTACCATGATTTGGAGCTTCAGTAAATACCGTCTCTGAGGAGCTGGTTTTAATTTGTAGTAGTTATTTGGAGATATAATTTCAAGTGGAACAACTGGAGAGGAACACTGATATAATAGCGGAGTAGTATTCCAAGGCTTGTAGATATAATGCCAAAGTCAAAAGTAATCTAAAATCTTACTGTTGAATTATTTAACTTAAGAATACACAGTTTTGTCCTCAAAAATTTCTTTCTCTAGGCACAGTGGGTCATTCAAGAAAGTGCAATAACAAATTTGAGGTGTACATTTTCTGCAGATTTCTAGAATTTTTCAAATATAGCATCTACTGTTTACTAAACTACTCCTGGCTTGAATGTTATCTTTAGTCAGAAAAGCTGAGAGCACACTCTGATCATATTGTTTACTCGGTACATGCTCATTTCAAAAAACAATCAGATACAAACCTCACTTGACTAATGCCTTATGCAGTGCCTTATTTTATATGTAAGACTAAGTGTTGTGGTTTAACCCCAGCCACGACACTAAGCCCCTTTCTTCATGAAACATTTTATCATGCACTGCAGTTGCCTTTTGCTATTTAGCAAACCCACCAGCAGGTTCCCACAAAGGAGAAGGCTTATGTTCATTTTCCTTAGAAATGCTCATGAAAAGTGGGGTGAAACTGTAAATACTGTAAATACATTTTCACCTGTGTATTAGGGATGGAATTTTGTCCTATAAAAGCCACAGTAATTTACCAAATAAAAATAAATCTGGTTGTGTTACATAGGCTAGAATTAAACTTACTAACAGCTTCACCAAAGACAGAAAAACATTTGCTTCTAGTCTCCTATCTGCATGTAGCCATTTAATGTTCTCTTTATTGTGCTAAAATTCTAAGGTCTTTAGTGTAGAGTTTGCTATTTTGTTCAGGATTTGCACAGTGTCCAGAAGAATGGTTCCTGACAAGTGCCCCTAAGCACTAGAATTGTTTGGAGAAAAAAGAAAGACCATTTTGCTCAGTCTGAGTTTATTCAAATACAGCTCTGTCACTGTCTTCTATGAGAACTATGCCTAATAAGGACTGCAGCGTTTGGTCCTGTGTGAATTCCTGTACTTACTACTTTATTTTAAAAGACTCATACTTATCATTACAAATTTCCTGCCAGCTGTGTGTTGACAGAGCTGTGCCTGTGTTAAACAAGAAAACTGAAATCACAAAGGAAGATTAAACACGAAGTTTAATTGATTTTGCACAGGCTTGCTTTTCTATGCTTTTAAAACTTTCTGTCTTGCAAAAAAGAATCAAACTACAAACTTTTCTGTTCGGCAGTCACAGTGATGGATTTCTGCTTTCACCTTTATTAAAAACTGTCAGAATAAGTTGCATGATTTCAAGCCTTTTCAAAAGAAAACTTCTGCCCTCAGCTGATCCTGACCTCCTCTCTCCACTCTTATTTGCAGTCAGTTATTCTTCACACTCTATCTTCCTTCCTGTTCTGCCTTCACCGAAATTCACTTCACTGGCTTCCCTGTTTACCCCCCCCACAACCACCACCTTCTCTTTGATAAGACAACTCAAATGTCATGGTAGCATTTGTCCTGGTCTTCACAGCTAGTCAAGTTCCTATTCACTCCCTGCCTTGTTTGCACTGCAGACAGGATTGAGTGCCATCTACCCATCTGAGTAGACCTAAACGGGCTTAGAGAGCATGTGGAAGTCAGGCTCACCTGCCTTACTCCTGCTACAACCTTCAGCATACAGTTCAGTATCGTGTAAATGAAGCATTTTCCTGGTTTGACTGGGTTGGGTTTTTTTTTTCATTTTGCACTTTTGACAGCTAGATGTGAATTTGTTCACAAAACCCGCGTTCTCCTCACTCTTCTCAGCTCTCAGTGACAGCTAAATCAAAGAGATTACACCAGACCGATAGTTTCAAAATGTATTAAGTTCAGTGTAGTAAGCTCACATCATTTCCTACTGGTTTTCAGGTGACTAGTGGCTCTCTTCTCATACTCACACACTGCATATTCCTGCATACACACAGCGCCAGGGTTAATCCTCTTGATGTTCTTGTTAGCAGCAGCATCATTATGAGCCACTACCGTATCCCTGCAGCTTGACCATGTTATCTGTGACTTTTAGTTCACTATGTCAGAACTTCTGGAAGTGTTGTGTGAGTTGCAGAATTTTTCAGATTTCCAGTATTTTGGGCTGGGGTGCCTCTGGCATTTAAAAATTCTTATCAAGCATCTGTTCCAGTAATGCCTGGATTCAGAGCTGGGCCTGGACCTGAATTCACCCACAATCACCTGGAACCCATTTCTTCAAATGAAAGTGATGGAGAGCATATAGTCCAAAATCTGTCCAACATCCTTGAGTAGGCAGAACGCACTGTGACTGTGGTCTGTTCCTTGGAATATGTCACTTCCACTGACATGGATCAAGTTTCTGCTCATGCCTAAAGGGAGAATCAGACGTGCCTTTCTTTACTAGCTAAATGAATAATAAAAAGTCTTCTCTTTTAACCCTGGAAAACCTAAAATTCACATTGATTTAAAATATTTCATTAAGGCACTTAACACCAGTGTCTCCATCAGTAATCACTTTAATTGAAACTTACAGTAAAGATCAGATGAGAAGAAATGAGAACAGTCATCTGGGATGAAGCAGGGAAATTCTAATCTCATAGACATTGTGAAACATTACACCCTTTGTGTTATCATATCCATAGAATCCTAATTATTGTTATAGTTCTTCTTGAATAAAGAATCGGGTCCGCTTTTTCTTTGAATATTCCTAAAGAAGCCAGTGGAAGTTCTGATAAAAGTCAGAACTGGTGGGCAAACTGCTGCCTTCAAAAAAATTAACCAAGGATCTGTTAAGAGTTTTCAACTTTGCAAAAAGAGACCAAACAATAAATGAATTTCTGGAGCTAACTCAAGAAAAAATCTGATGTAGAAGCCTCCAGTCTTCTAGGTTAATAGGTACTGCTACATTTTCAATCCCAGAAAAGATGCTTGCTATCTTACATCACAAATAATATTTCTCATTTTTGCAGGACTTAAGGGATAAAATTATTTCTGTAGTCAGTAATTTCCTTGAACTCCTTTGTATTGGCGTTCAGAAACAGTTAGCACTCCCTAATTGAGGAAGAGTAATTATTTCACTTTTTAACAAATGCACTCTGAATCACTGCCAGAGACCTTGGGTTTAGGGGCCTGTTAATTTCCAACTCTTTGTTTAGTCCTCCAGGCTAAGCTGAAAACACAGCTTCCACATTTTCTGGGTTTTTTCTTTCTTTTGCAATAAATATTATTATGGCTATATGGGTCGCACAAGTAAAACAGAAACCCCCCCCAAGTTGTTATTTTAATTATTTACATTTTAGAATTTGTAAGACTCTTAAAATGTATTAAAATCCTACAGGCCATCTTCTCAAAAAGAGGGACCTGAACCTTAATACCTTCAGGAAATCCTAGTATAGGTATCAACCACCATATGTATGTCAAATCACCAAATTTGTTGGTGGGTGTAAGTATGCAACAACTTTTTGTTAGTACAACCTACTTTCAGAATAAGTATTTAGAACGATTATTAGCATCTGACTGATGTAGGAAAAATCCTATTTTAACTGATGCTAAAGCGTGTAAGCTCTTTTCCTGCAAAACACTGTGCTCTGCCCAGTACTAGAGTTATGCTTTCATCTGGTTATCTTTCAAGGCAACCTGGGTGGTCACAAAAAGCACTTGACATCTTGATGCACTTCAGCAGTTTTACATATACACAAACTTTGTAGAAAAATAAATTTGTCATTCGTCACCACATATGTTGATCTGAGGAGTAAGGTTCCTGTGCTCATAGCTCCTGTGCTGCTGAGCCCTTTCTCATTCTCTCTCCTTCCACCTCCTCCTTCTTTCTCCCTTTTCCCTCTTTCACTTTTTCCAATTAAACAAATCGTTTTTCATAAACACAGAATTTCATAAAACAACTATAAGGGACTTGCTCTGCAGTATATACTCATTATTTGTACCAGCTACAAACTCATGTCAAAAAAACTCTGTGGTGACTTCTTATATGGGTGAAACATTTAGAATATCTAATCTGTTATCACTGCTCAGCAGGCAATCTTGGCAACTATGATCTATGCTGCTTTGCTTTGGGGAATGTGATAAAGAGCAAGAAACAGCTGGTTTAAGAAAGCCTTAGAAACATCTCTTAGTTTATAAAGACAATAATAATATTTTCATATTTGAATGGGTTGAGATACATGTTAAACCACAGTAAAGGAAAAAGTAAGTCAATTCAAAATGTTTTCTCAAGTCAATAAAAGAGCACTGCAAAAAATCTCTGCACTCTTGGGGTTTCAGAGAAAACAAGTACACAGAGTACACATGCAATTAAAAACCCCTCCTCCAAATCTCATCCACTTAAGCCATCCCCTTTACCCAAACATGTTTATATTACATTACAAAGCTGTGTTCATATGTCAAAAAAGACTATTCACAAATCCATTTTTCATATGGCTATCAACTCTTTTTTCCAGTGTGTGTTGCTAGTGACAAAAAAAAAAAATCTTAACCAGTTTAATTATTTGCTCCTGTGTGGCATTATTTATAAGTAGTGTTTGGACAGGGAAAAAAGCATAGTTTAAAAATGACAGTCTTAAACATATAAATAATTTACTATTGAGAATACCAAAGATGTTATTTAATATAATAGAGTACTAAAACCAGTGTTTCTAAAAGAACCATCTTCTGTGGTTATTTTGTTGATATAGTTACAAGTGATAGTACACATTTGGTGATTGCGTTAGACAACACAGGTCAGATTCTGGTTTTGGTTAGGTCTAGCTAAGTCTACTGACTATAGTGAGGAAGTATCAGGTTAGTTAAGAATTTAGTTGTTAACAGCATGTTGGAAGTGATTCAAAGATCACAGAAGTCTATCAAATAGCTCCCTTTGATTTCAATGTGCTTTAAACCCCACAGAAAAAACATCAGTTTCTAGGGTAACAAAACCAGAAAAAACACTTTACTGATCAGCTTTTAGTCTACAGCAAACAGCCAGAATCCTTTATTTCTTGCATTTTAAAGCTATCATTTAGTATAGCCTTTTGGATGGCCAACTGCTTGTTTACATGATTCAAATGAACACAGAAGTATTTCAGCAGAGGTAATGGTTTCAGGTGCTTCTGACAACAAACAAGCCTGTGTTTCATGGACAGTTTAATAGGAAGGTGGCAAGAAAGAGCTAAAAATATTTATGTCACTACATAAGATCCACTATGAAGTCCCATAGATATTCTGCCTTTGGCTGGGCAAAACCCACTCATGATATCAGTGGGTATTTTACCTTGTGAGGAGCTGGATCTGTAACCCCTCAGGCCATATCAACACTTTGAAACAGACATCCCTTAGCCCCACAGCTGGTTATAGGTTTTACCTGGTAAGTGACCTCTGCAAGTATAATAGAATTCTTTACAATAGTCTTTGCACAGGTAGGGAAGAGTTAGTTCTCTTTCAGGTGTTTCCCCTTTTTCAGGTGAGTGGAATAGGTTCTGAGCATGAGGTGAGCAGTGTGCACACTTGATTTCGTCCAGTAGCTTCGCACATTCTGTGTTGTTGGTAACAGAAAGTATCTGCAAGCCACAAATCAGAGACAAATAAACATATGACCTGTTTCTCCATCTTACACAAAAAGAAAAGATTGCACAATCTAATGTAATAAATAATGCTAGCAGAACCAACAGAGTTACTATAAAAGCATCATGTTTCAATGTCACTGTTCTGGAAGTGCAAAAATTATTACTATGAAATATGCAATATGCCATTAGTACAGTGAGATTTTAAGTGTTTGCCTCTTTCTCAGATAAGAATCATAGTACTCAAGTTATTTTATGGACTCATGCCGGCAATCTCTTAATCGCATAGGCAATCTCTGAACTAGAGGAATCATTTCTATCAGGAGGAGCTACATGAGCAGGCCTTTTTCTTATGAGAAATACTTAAAAACCTAACCTGTAAGGCAAGCTATTTAAATATTTACAGACTAAAAATCAAAATTCTACCATCAAAACACACCAGGAAAATCATATTTAGGTCTTTGTTAGACAGGTGTATCTTGAACGATACCACAGTTTGGTTACTGAAGCGACTGCTGCCGAGTTCAGCAGGTGCCTTGGATTTTTCATCTTTAAATGCTGCTCTGCTTTCTGCTCACTCTCATGTAAACTACTTGGAGGTGGGAAAAGCTGTATGTTTTCAAATATTTATAAGTGAAAAAAGTGGAATTTGAAACCGTAACTTTGCCCAGAAAAAAGAGCATATATTATGCGTAGAACTTGAAGAAGCACGAAACCACGACTGGTGGTGTGTTTAAGTAAACACTGGAGCCTAAGAAGCACAATGTCATCAAATCGTGAAAAATAATGGAAAACAGCATAGTTGTCTTTATTAGTCTTTGAATGCAGTGCACTTTGTTAATCTGTTGTTAACCACATGGATTATTTTTTGATCATCCATCCCAATGGTGGGTAGTGGGAAATGTGTTTGCAGTTGAGAGGGACTGAATCTGATCCAATACAAAATGAAAGCTCAGGTTCTTTCTGTTGTTTAACACAGTTATAAACAAAGACTTAAAGACACTTGTGTTAAGAAATATCAACACGGTAAATATTTCTATTTTGTGAAGTTTGTAAATATTTGTAAACAGCTCATTTGAAAATATCGCCACACTTTTGCTCCAGTTCGTCTGGGTTGATTTGCAGAAGGACTTTCCAATGTCACTCCCTTGCAACATAACATGGGAGGAAATTTTCTAAGTTACTTTTGATAAAATGATAAGTTATTCAGTGCATGAAGACTCGATCCATTTGAATACGCTGTCTCATAGATCAGTTCTCTTCTAGGATGCACTGCTTTGGTAAAACAGTTCTGTACTCAGCATTTTATGTATGGATTTAATTACATAAACCCCAAACACTTAAAAGAAATGCAATCTCCATTGTTTTAAGCAGGTAAGTTTTCAAAATATTGTACAACATACAGCCTGTACAGGTGCACAAAAACCTATTTAAAGGAACCTTAATTTAGAAGACAAACTCTTACCAGGAAAATTCAGTTTTACCATATACATATTGTCAAAAGGCCATCTGAGTTTAGTGGCATAGTTGGACCACTGATTAGAAGAACACCATTTGGCTTCTACCCTTATTCTGGAAGAGCTGCCATTGGCTTCAAAAAGAATTCCCCCAGCTTTGCCAGGATCATTAAATGCATTAAATGTTCTGTTCTTTAGACTATCTGTTCTCAGATTGTCCTCAGCTTCATAGCACCTGCAATTAGCTAATGTCTCTTAACATCTGCCATGCATGGTTTATTAGCTGTCTTCAGACCATTCTTGGGAATGTAGCTGATTTACATCTTTTTGAAAGGGCTCATCTTCTTTTTTCTCCCCCCCCCCCAACCTTGAAGACAGTCATTAATTGACTGCCTGTTGCATGTATGGCAAAATATTTTCCATAGCCTCAGCCCCTTCTTTCCTGAACAAATTTAGATTCTTTTTTCTAGATTGCTCATTTGGTCATAGCAGCAGAACTGTTAACCTTAGTCTTCTTTCTTCAGTTTCAGATGTTGTTCTAGATATGGTAGATGTAGGGGAAAATGCTTTGAAGACACGAGCTAAAAATATATAGATAACTGCAATATACTATAACCAAATACATATTTACTAAAACTTTGAACTTAATACTGCCTAGGAGTACAATCCAGGTAGCAGAGAACAGGATTCATATGCTTGCAGTAATCCACACTGCTGAGTCAATCTTCTGCATTAGCTGGACTTTCTTAAGGCATGGTAGCATCCTGACCTTGGTATTTTGCATTGCTGTGGTTCTAATGGGCAGTGGCCTGTTATCACTGAGTCAAATTGCTGTCTGTCAGACAGAACAAAGTCTGAAGCCAACAGGGGATGATCAAAATCACTATCCATATATGCCACTTTTTAAGAATATTACATCACCAAGAAGCTGGGAGCTCCCCTAAAGTAAGGATGAAATGACCTGTTTTGGTGTTTCCACCAAAGGTAAGTATATCATAACTACAGACTCTTCAGAGTACTTGCCTATATTCAGTAGTGTCACCTGCTTTGCAAAAGCCTCAGATGTTGATCTCAGGCAGCAGGCTGTGTCACATATGATGGAATGTTTAGAAGTAGAAGTAAATATGAGATATTACTAGGTAAATATTCAGTGTGTTTATTGAATTAACTCCACAGTGATGCACATAGAAAAGAGTTCTACTGGAAGACTCCAGAATGCATTGTAAAGAGGAAAAAAAAAAACCCTAAAAAAATTACAGGATAACAAAGCTAAATTACTGTTTCTTGTGGAAAATGTAATTGACGTTGCCTGGTGATACAGGAGAAGTAATGCTTGCCAACATTTCAGTCCTCAAAGTTAAGACAAAAGGGTCCTAATCCCCCTGAGCAGCTGCTATCCAGGAATTAACCACAGGAATTCACCCCCTCATGTCATTTCTGAAATGAATCTTGGTCATATAACAGCTAATCGGAAGATTAAGGAATGAGAGTCAATCAATTATCTGAAAATCAAGTACAATGTTATTTAACTTTTAGAATGCTCCAGCAAAATAGGGTGGTAACATTTGCTCTGTGTGAGGTCTGATGTATAACTCTGTCCTGGCTGGGAGATAGGACAAACATTTTATTCTGAATTTCAGTAAATCAATAATGTGTTTATCCTGGAGTTTATTAAACCAGTTTCAAGTGAAAGCTGAAATACTTATTTGAATTAAGATTTTTTTCTATTGGATCTCTACTTTGAAAATGACCTCAAAGTTGACAATGGCTTTGGTCTTTTGAAGAAATGTAAACTAATTTCCTGCTTCAGTTTTTAAAATCATATGTGAAACCATCAAACTGCAGTGGTTTAAACTAACTGTTCTCTGGAAAATATGTAAAACTTCCAAACATTTATTGCAACATGCCTAATAATGATTATGCCTGCTGCTGACTAATTTACAACATCTGTAAGATCATCCTTTAATCTCTAGCCACATGAAAGAAAACTGGGTAGACTTAAGGTAAGATAAATTCTGGAATGCACAGGAAATCATAGCATACTAAATTGGTTTATCAACAAAAAGAATAGTGCAAAGAAGAAGAAACAGAAGACAAAACAATAGATAGAAATTCTGTACATTGAATATTGTCAGCCGTTTTGTGTACTCTGTCATACCTAGTTTCAGAAAGGCAGTATAATTTTGATGTTAAAATTTAAAAACAAAACAACAGTGAAATAAGTAATTGAATTGAGCTGTATTTGATATACAAGCATTTATGGCTAAAAATCATATGCTTATGAGATTGTTCAGCTGTTGGGTTGAACATATGCTTCTTCTGTATTATAGTGCTGGATTATGTCATTAAAGAGTTCGGTTTCAATTTTAGGGTAATATGTAAATAGATCATTGTACTAAGGCAGCTGTTAAAGGGACCCCAAGATGAGTTATTTGTTTAGTTGGATGTGTTCAACAATAGCCTTTGTTCGTGGAAGAGCCAGAGCAAACAAATGATTGTAAAAGGGCACACTTGAAAACAATTACTTTTCACCCATTCCTTGACAGCCTTGGCTGTGAAACCATCCAAGGTAGAGAGGACTTCTGTGCCTGTCAGGCTGTCAGGAAAGTTTTAGAAAAACTGATATTACAGTGTTTGACTGGGATGTAGTAGCCTTTCATAAACAAGGGGACATTGCAGAAAACTAGAAGACAAAGAGTTAAATGTCAACAACAGGATGCAAAAATCTTGCACCACTGCAATGTTGTATCTGCTCATCATGGTAGCTCCAGTTTTGCTCCCCAAACTGCAGGCAATGGTAGCGTTTTCATTATAAACACAGATCAATAAGTTGGTGAGAAATTCCCAAAGACTGGTGTCTTAACTAAGAAGCTGTTACAAAAATCTCTACTGAGCATGCTCAATTCTTTTTTTATTTTTATTTTTTTAAAGAAGTTGGCGTTCAAATTTATTCCACAGCCACTCCATCCTGTAGATACATGATGAAGTTTAAAAAACCTGCTATTGGAACTGTGGTAGAATACAGTTTAAACAACGTGGTTTTAGAAAAGTTCCATTCAAATGTATTCCATAATCGTTTGCCATGCCTTTTATTGTGGAATGACCACCTCATTCTGCCAAGTATAAATTAACATGCATTTTGACATTTTTTCTAAACATATGTAAATATGATAAAGCTGATTAGTGGATTTCATAAATGTTCATCTGTGGTGAAAACAGTCTGATTTTAAATCCCTGTAAAATAATGTCTGTTTAAAAGCGTAATCTCTATTTAAAAAACAGGTTCAACAGCTCAGAAATAGCTGCTGTGACATATTTGGTCAGCTCCTCACATTGATACCAGGTTTTTACTACCCTTAGTAAAAAAAAACCAAAAAACAAACCAAACACAAAAACAATAAAGGTAATTAAAAGATATTTTCAATGAATAGTAAGAGAATAAACCCTTCAACTGAACAGGTATGGAAAACTAACCAAAATTCAACTTCCAATTTACTGCATTCAGCCAACTACTACAAGGTTCTCCAAGCACTGAATAATCTTGGTAGCATATATGCCACTGAGACATTCAAACAGGGTGAATTAAGGACATATTTTCTAGTCCCTACTATTTTTCCTTTTTTTTTTTTTCCTCTCCTCTCCTTTCTTTTCTTTTTCTTTTTTTTTTTTTTTTTTTCCTTTTCCCAAGTAGATCTTTCAGGTTATCTGTGTGTGGTTAGTTTATAGTTTAATTCAATTATCGCACAGGAGCTTAATGACATTGTCTCTAGACAACATGAAGAAATATATCTGCCTTGAATTTCAAACTGCTGCTGCATATGGTATGAATAAAGAGAGATCTGCAGCTGAAAACCTGTAGTAAGACAGTTCTCACTCATCTGGGAATAGAGGGGGTAGGACAAATGCTCCCTCAAAAGGCATGAACATTTGGACAGAGCTGGGGACTGAAGGAGAATGATGTTCTCCAGTTTCACCCATTAGTGAACCAACTAACAAACACAATGGTGTTGTTGTTATTCTTTTGCCATAAGCAACAGGACTCTGTGTGTGGGCAGCAGTTTAGGGGGGAGGAGGATAAGTCGACCCCTTTTTGTCCTATTGATTTTTTCCTATTTGCATGACTTGAGCAAATTAAATGATGCAATATGGCTTTTTGTTACAAAACAAAGTGAGAGATACCACCCAGACACATATGTTGATTCGTAGAAGCTGTTTACATGAGAATGGAGTGAAATCTACCGTGAACTGAGCATAAAAATTCGATTCAGGCTGGGTATTTTTTTTTTTATTATGCTTGGGCCAGCAAGACTGAAACACAAGTTTTCCAAGAGTCTCTCAGACCTTGACAACTACAGAGTTGTAACTGAGGAATTCTTAATTAAACCTAAACCAGGATGTGGGGAAAAGGCGGGGGGGGGGGGGGGGGGGGAGAGAGAAAAAGAAAAGAGAAAAGAAAAAATAAAATAACACCTGATTTTTTATTTGCATGCAGTGACTCTTAATGACATTATTCAGCAACCTCCCTTCCTGAGCATACCCCTGGATGCAAGTGGCCATCACAGCAGAGCTTATCAAACACGGTCCTGTGGGGTTAGGTGACCAGCTCCTTTGAAAATTCAAGCAACAGGCTGATAAGCAGGATCTAACTTGCTAAAGGATGCAGAGAACTGACAATTGTTAAGAAATCGGTGAGCAAAGAGGAGGTGCTTCCCTTCACATGACCGCAGCTTGAAACTGGGCAGGGAGACTGCCAGGTGATGTGAAAAGAGAGACGTATGTCACAGCACCTTGGGACAGAGAAAGAGAACCCGGTTATCGGGAGAGCTGTTAGATCAGGGTCCGAGAGACGAAACTTCAGGAGACTTCTGCAGTTCACACGGTATGGGTACCAGTGGGACGTGCATGGGCCCGGAGGAGGCTGCACACCACAAAAGTTTGGTACACCGGCACCGTCTACTGCTACCCAAAACCCTCCCTGACCAAACATGTGGAACAAACTTGAGTTTGTCACCCCAGAAAAAACAAACGGAAAGCACCGCTAGTGAGTGTGCAGCCCCACTGCTGCCGGTCCCCGGACGGCAGCTGAAGCCCCTCCAGCTCGTCCACCTTTCCCCAGCACCGGTACCTGCTCCCAGCCCGGCCCTCGCGACCACAGCGGGACCAGTCCGGCGCTAGTGCCAGAAACTGGCAGCGGACAAGAACTTCCAGGCAGAACCGTCGGCAGCTGGCAAAGCGCTCCCCCCGCGGAGCGCCCGTCCCCTCGAGGGCAACAGCTCTGCCGCATCCAGGCTCCCTGCGACTCCCGAGGACATGTATCAGCACCAGTGTCATCTTTCTGCTTCGTCCTCACCTCCCAGGCAGAAGCGGGCTGTCTCCCCGCTCCGCTGCATCTCTCCCGCCCGGGAACGCAGCAGGTTAGCGGCTGGTGCACGGGCTCCACGCAGGAAAAAATAAAAGCAACCCAACCCCCCCAAACACCCAATAAGGCCCCAAAGCTCCCGGAAAGGCCGAGGCAGCCCCGGGGTGCCTACCTTCGCCTCGGCGTGCAGAAGCCCCTGCGCGTCGGAGCGGGAGCAGCAGGACAGGCGCGGGTAGAGGCCGCGGCACATCGCCTCCCCGCCGGCCGGGGCCTCCGGGGACAGCACCCGCCGGTCGCGCTTCTTCAGCCGCCGTGGAGGGGTCCCGTTGAGGCACCTTCTCCTGCGGGCGCCGCTCTCCCCAAACTTGGCATCCCCCTCGAAGAAGCACAGAACCACGGCCACCAGCAGCAGCTTGAACGGCAGCATCTTGAGCATCATGCCTGAGGGAGCGTGTGAATGCACCAAAAAAAAAGGGGGGGTGGGGGCAGAGGAGGGGAATCCCACGGACTTCTCTTTGCACTTCAGCTCAGGAAACCACCTCCCTCCCCCAGAAAGGGAAAAAGTCTGGAGGAGAGTAAGAGCGGCGGCAATTAAAAAGCACTTCGGTCACCCCCCGCTTCCAAAAAGGCGGGCGCGGAGAGGCAAGGAGCTGAGCAACGAGCCTCCGCGCCCGCGGCGGGAGGATGCTCGGGGCCGGCGAACTTGTGCAAGCGGCACCAGGTTTAGCAGCTGCAGCACCGAGGCGCCGAGGCTCGGGGCGGGCCGGGCAGCGGGCGGCGGCAGCCCTTCACTTGTCGTCCCATAGGAAGGGTGTCCCCGAGGCGGGACGGCGGCGGCCGTGGCGGGCGATGCCCCCTCCGCTGCGGCTGGGGCTGGGGCTGGGGCTGCGGCTGCTGCTGCCGGCGGCGGCTCGCGAGGGCTCTCATGTTTCGCTCCCTCTTTTCTTCTTCTTTTTAAGCCGCGCGCGGGGAGGTGCTGCCACCGCGCGCCCTGCACGTCACCCGGCGGCACCGGCCGCGCGTGCCGCCCGCGCCGCCGCGGGGGCCCCGCGGGAAGCGGCGGTGCCGCGCGCCCGGAGGACTCTCGCCGCCCTCCCTCCCCCCTCACCCAAACTCGGACCCGCGCGCGCGCTCGCGCCAGCCGCAGGGGCGCGGTGAGGCGCGGGGCACGAGGCGGCGCCCCGCCCTTTAGCGTCCCCCCTGCGGCGGCGGCCGCCCGGGGGGTTCTGTGGTGTGGTGGTGGTGTCCCGTCCCGTCCCGTCCCGTCCCGTCCCGTCCCGTCCAGTCCCCGTTCCCCCTGTGAAACGGGAGCCGGGGCTACCGCAGGGCCGGCGGAGGGGGTGGGCGCCTGCCTCGGCGGGAACCGGTGGAGCCGCGTCCCTCCCGGCGGAGGGCGAGCGCTGTAGGTGGGTCCCGCTCCCCCGGCGGCTGAGGTACCCGGTCCGGGGGCAGCCGCCATTGGGCCAGCTTGGCAGCAGTGCCGCCCTGGGTCTGCGTGGCCGCACCCTCATATCCTCCCTGCGAGTCATCTCCAAATGCCAGGGAAGGTTCCAGACCCGCGGGCAGGCGTCGACGGACCGCCACAGTGGAGAACGGTGGGACGTGCCGTCAGCTCAGGTGGCTTGGAGCGGAGCTCCGGCATCGTTGCTTCTGCTGAAGGTGCAGCAGGTTTCTGTCAGTGCAGTGAAGCTCACTCCTTCACCCCAACTGTAATCAAGTTCAAAGCAGGACTGGTTGGTCATGGTGGCCATTGCTAATGGTAGGAGGGAGGGAGATTTTGAGGGTGAGTGTCCTCCTGGACTGTGGGGAACAGGAGACCTGTGTGTGGGAAGTGTGATGGACTAACCGAGTGTCTGGCACTTGGTGCCAAGGAAGCACCTGGAGCACCAGGAGCCGCCAGAAAGGGAAGGGCCAACCCAGTGTGAGGCAAAGTTGGGAAGGAGAAAAGTGCAAGCCCAGGGTAAAGACCAAGGTTCCTCTGGGAGGAGGTGCTACAGGGTGCTGAGGTGGGAAGAGGGACTTAGAGCTTAGCCAGGAGGTGTTGGCTACTTCCCATGAGGGAGAGGAGGGCGTGGAAATCCTCAGAAGCAGCTGTAGCGCGGGTGTAGCTACAGCTGCTGACTGGGGGGTAAAGGGCAGCTGGACAAATAGAGCCCTGAGGTGTATTTACCACAGACTTGCTGCTAATCCCTGAAATAGAGGAAAAAATGGCTTACTCCCCTGCATAAAGAACCCCCTTAGGAGGGAAAAAGGGAAAGAAGTATTGCATGGAGTTCTTGAAGTGCAGCAGTGTTGTTTCTAAAGCAACTAGGGCCTGTTACTGCTCTCCTCATGTTTATTTTTAACCAAAGAAAATGAGTCTTCAGGTTTACATTTGAACTCTTAAACAGTCTGCACTGAACTAAATAGGAATTTGGCGTGGACAAACAGTACATCAGATAAATTCATTGCATAGACATAAAGACTTTTTCCTCCGCCTTAAGTGCATATTTTGAAGGCGAGTGGTCCCTAACCTCATGACCACCACTTGCCTTAACCACGTACTCTCATTTGGCTGGAAAAGATCCCAGCCAAGGCTTGAGCTACATCAACACGAAGGAGGATGCCTGCAGTACAGCAACGAGCCCTGGCACTCACACTGGTGAGTGAAATAATGATGGTACTCTTGGGGTATCAATAGCACTCCTGATGCAGCTTCCTGCTTTGTAGTCTTAGATAAAAAGTATTTTTAATTTTTTTATAATTTAAAAATAAAAATAACTTAAAAATAATTTCAAAATTAAAAATAAAAAAATGCAACATGTGAACTTGTTCTGTGAGAACCTGACTGGCAGAACTGTAGCAATGAAGTTAGTCTACAACAGCTATGCCACTTTTTTGTTATTGTGGATTATTACGTAGGTGATTCTGAAATAAAAGTGATTCTGGTATAAAGCAGAATGGCATATCAGAATAAAGCCACTTTTATTCTCAAGCAGACTCCTTACAAAGGGTTACACTGGCAGAATAGTGGTGGCATGAGGACACAGCTGGAGGGTCTGTGTGCCTCTTTCCTTGTGTAGGCAGGTGCTCATACTTTCAAGGAGATTGAATAATTCTGCTCTGCATCTCCCTTACCAGAGTAGGGAAACTGAAACTCAGTGGAAAGACATGGCTGTGGGGCAGATACCCTCTTGAAAAAACAAATGTTCAGTGAAAATTTCTGTTGAGCAATTGTAGCCCAGTCCTCTCAGTTCCTGTCTTGCTGAAGGAGAGAGGAAGTGAGGAATATAAATCTACATGATCAAAGTAGTACAGCTATTAGTAAATAACCTTTCTTCCTCCTTCAAGTGCTGCCTGCATAAATATCTCTTTCTATGTATACCTGTACCAGTTCTCAGAGGAGGTGATTTTGAGGTGTATTAATTAAATAGAGAATGATTTCCCGAAATGGGATTTAGATCAGGTTGCCAGACTAAGAAAGAGCTGACAGTTTGTGAAGGTCAGTTTCTACACAGAAATTTTACACAGATCTGTGATGGGCAACATTTCCCAGAAATTCAGTGGAATGTACTGTTGATCTTGTATAATCTGAAGTGCTCAAAACTTCAAGCTGTGTAGTGATAGGGTGATATAAAGATGTATAAGCAAGACTTGAGAAAGGTTGAATGTTCTTTAAAACCTCTGAATAGAAATTGCTGATTCTTGCAGTTTTTTTGCAGGAAGATCTGATTTAATCTTATGTTCCTTTCCACCTTTTCAAAGTACATGATGGCTTCTTTAACAAAGTTGTTGGTGTTTTTTTCCAAGCTGGTTGATACAGGGTATTTTTTATGAACTTTTTTTAATAATGCAAAGTTAAGGTCAGTATTAGCACATGCTAGTTCAGAGTGTCAACTTCAGGAGACTTCCAGGCTTTGATAAATAGAGATAAGGGAATACTTCTGAAGTAAAGACATATACATAGGAAATATGGTTAATAAACACATCAGTCTTTTAAGGCAACTTGGATTCTGTCATATAAAGCTCATTAATTAGAAATGATTAAACATGGTAATGGTGTGAGCTGAATACGTTCTGTAATTTGTTCACAGTATGAAGGATGTAGATGAGGATCTTAGGGCCACAGTGCCATTATGTGTGAAAAGGTTAGAAAGTTTTAAAAAAGGAAGCTATTGCTGCTAAAGTGTTTGAATGTACCTAGATTTTCTTCTAGTTTTGCCTAAGAGACAAGCAAACTCTGCTTACTTATGCCATAACCCTCATTATCTGTATTATTATCTATAGCATGATATGTCATGGTACCTGTATTGTGTGTATTGAATGTGTCAGAATACCCTTCCTTCAAAGGGTGTAAGGCTTATTGTGGCATGCACTTGAACTTACCATTTCTTAGATTATTTTATGTTTGTTGTCAGGCAGTCATATGTATTTTGCAAGGGAATTTAATTGCTTTAATGTTTAAAGCCAGTGAATTCCTCAGTACTTAGAACAGAACAGAAAATGTGTAGCAGCTAGTGTCAGTTTGGGGAAATACAGTTATTGTGAGTTTGCAGATAGAAGCAGAAGCTGGGCAAAATGATCTCCTGGCATCAGGTTTGATAGAAGCAAGCAGTAGCACCAAGTTATTCCTAAACTCCCAACAGATGTTGTCTGACAGCACGTTTGCACGTTCCTGTGATTCACAGAAAAACTTCACTTGCGATCACCTCACTTTGACAATGAAGCCCATACAATGTGGGATGTGTCTTCTCAGCAATAATATCAAGGCTAAATTCCATCTTTCTACACTAATAGCAAGTATCTGGCGTGCCATGAGGAAGAATGTTGCCAGGGGACAAACCAACACTCACCTTGATTTGCATCTGGGAAATTGTATTTAAGACACTAGTGTGGGAAGATCACCCCTCTGTATCAGGGACATTTCACTAGGTGAAGCAGGTAGGCTTCAGCTGTTGGGATAGTGGCTTTGCTTTTGTTTTAGCCAGCATTTGAGTTGAACTTCTGAAATATGCTTTTGTCTTTGCCATTTATTTTGTTTCAGACCCACTTTCTTATCAGATGAAATGAGAGTGGAGACTTTCCTTATCACTGCCACTACACTTTTCACTGAATACCTTGTAACAATGTACTTGTTATTTGTAGTTCTCTCACTAAATTGTGGGATGTGTTGTGAAACCAATGATTCTGTTTTATTGCTTAGTTTGCCTGATTGCTTAGCAAGGAGCAGGGAGTCGGACTTGGTGATCCTCATCAATCTCTTCCAATCTGAGATATTCTATGATTCTATGATTTTGTTTTCTTGTTAGGGTCACTCTATGTCGTAGACCAGTGAGAAACACTCAGTCACAGATTCTCCACTGTGGATGTTCAAAATGAGAGCACTCCAGATTGAATCCATTTCCAGATACGATTCTGGAGGGAAAAAAAAAAAAAAAAAAGAGAAAAAGTCCTTTAATTTTCAATCTTGTCTGTTTAATTTAGCAAGGAAAGAAAAATCTGTCTAAAGTAGTCAGTTCATTTAAACTACTTTGAAATAAAACTGAGCTTCAGAGTCCAAACTCTGAGGCTTTTGCCTCAGTTGTGGCTGCTTGAAACTTAAAGGTCCCATCTCCCTGTTTTCTGTCAGCTAGATGGACAGAGGAATCTGGAAATTTGGAATGAGTGCTTGGGCAGGATTCTCAGGGTTTGGCAGTCTGGGCTCCTGTGCTTCTGGCTTTTTCTGGGTGAAAGTCTGACTGTCCTGAGAGTCCCATTAGAAGTGAAGCTGAGAGTTTTTTCTGGCTCTCTGCTGCATCACTGGGGCTAGGGCTCCTGTGGCTTCAAGGCAGAGAACTGGAATATCAGGAAACCTTGACTCTGGGACAGTCTTTATGGCAGGAGTTACCCACAGCTGGGGACTCTGCAAGTCCATTCGCTGTGGCAACTTCTCTGGTAATGAAGAAAGAAAACTGCTGGAATGGTTTCATTAAAGCACCTTGTGGTTAGTCAGAAGTTTGTAAAACCATTATATTTTTTGCTTATATTTCTGTTTGTGATGTAACAGATTTTTTCAGTTTGGTCAGGACATTTCAAGTTGGTTCTATCTACCATATACTATAGCCCACATCACTTCACGGGGTTGAGAATAACATGTTGCTTGTCTTTGCATACCACAAATACGAGGTGTGAAAGCTGGTATAACATGAATGAACAGGACTTGTTAGGATATTTTTTTATGGGAAAATAGGTGCCCAGACAGTCACAGACAAGTTTTTAGGGTATGTCTGTACCACAGAGTTCCCCATGGCTCTTAGAAATCCTCGAAACCAGCTGAAACCACCTGGACCATTTGGGACTGTAAACTAATATGTCTGCTCTCTAAACATGACTTCAAAAAAACCTGAGTCCCACCTGGGTACAAAAACAGTATTAACTCCACTTGATTGGCCCATCAGAGAATATGAACTACAGATTATTTTAGCACATCAAGTCAGCTACTAACACAAACCTTCAGTTACGTGTGTTCAGTTTTGCAACATAGGCTAGGCTAAGAAGGCAGATAAAGCAAGCCCTTTTGTGAGGGAATGAAGACTCAAGAGGCCCTCTTGCCTATAGTCTGCATACTTTCACTACCTGCTGTAATTCACCTCATCACTGGGTCTCTATGTGTGTTACAAAGAGACAAAGGAAACTGCTGTGGGAAAACCTTTCTTTTCTACCAGGCACTGTAGTAATCCGCTCCCTACTGCAATTTACCAGCCACGTGTATGCTATCCCTTGCTTCAGTGTTTGAAGTATCCTTAGCTTGCTATAGGAGCAATTTGTATAGGATGTCATCAAGGGAACTCTGAAATGCTTATAACAGTTCCCAAAGGAATAAAGGTCTTTTTGAATAAGATATTGTGCATGCCAGAATTGAATAATGGACCTAAATATTTGTGCCTGGTGTTCTTTGTTGCCTGCTAAGTGTGGGGATGGACAGTGTTAAAACTAAACGGTCATGAAGCTCTGCTTTGAGCTGCTGGATGACGGGATGTCCGATAGAACTCTACAGGTTTTCTCTGTGTTGATGCACTGCATGTGCATTTCACTTTGTTACATAAATCAGTGTAAATTATTTCATATTTGATATGGAAGCTTTGGTAAATTCTTTGTGGTATCTTTCATATAATACATGTTAAGGTGCCATGTATAGCACAACTGCAACTAGAGCATATGTGCTATATGAACTGGGCTATTTGAGGCTACTTACCAAAGGGTAAAAAAACATTTTTAGGTGGAAAATAATGACAGAGACAGCAACCATTGTCATATATTCTCCTAGTATAGTATGTGTCTAATTCATATGTGTAATGTAGCTTTAGAAATATATACGTTATTCAGTAGCATAATTTCTCTTTCAGAAACTAGGGAGTTAATCTCAAATATATATGTTCCTCAAAAAATCATTCTCAGAGCTATTGAGTGCTCTGGCATATGGGGGAAAGTACCAGTATACCTAACAGTCATTCCCAGATGCGTGCTAACAGTGTGCTAAAAATCAGTCATTTTGGCCTTTTAAGTGACTTCATAATGGTGCTGAAAGCTGCCCCACATTTCTGGCATCACACATGCTTCTGCAGGCTTAATTGCACTTGTGTGGTGTCTTTTTTTGTGCCAGTGCAATGTGTACTTAATACCATCTCTTTGAAGTGTCTGTTTAGCCTCCACTAGCCTGAGTTACAAAGTTTACCCTTAGTAACTTTTTCTATCTTGCTTCCCTGAATGGGCATTGGGAGCATTGTGTTGGCAGCCTAAATTCTGACCGAATAAAGTAAGTCTGGAGTGAATTAAAGGTATAGTCTGAGTCCCAGTCATGCAAAGAAAAAGTTGGAAGAAGCAGGTGATTTTGTAAACAGTTAATTCTTACAGAGGCTGTTCTTTGGGAACCCCTCATTGAAGTGATTGAGTTTGGCCTGCTTGTCTTCCCTCACACCCCCGTGATGCACAACAAATCTCAACCATGTGGATCTTAGTTTATTTACAATAGTCAACCTTTAACTAAAAAGTGGTGCTCAACTTCACTGTAATTAAAATGGAACATAGACCCCAGCTTGGCTAGGAGTTTACAATGGGGCCATGAAAATACTTTATCCACATGGAGGACTGTCAAACGACCAGGTTTTGGGACTCCCTGGTTCTGCAGGCTGACAGCTATTTTGCCAGCAGTGTCTTCAAAGACAGATTGGACCATGTACGTTCTTCTAAACCTAGAGCTTAAGAGTACATTAACTTTGGTGAGAAATAAATCTAAGCAGGTGGTAGGTTCACACACAGGTGGCAATGTGTGAATAATTTCTTTCATTTGACTGAAGATGCATGAACAAAGAAGATCCTTGGATAAAGATGTAAACTGATGTGGATGCCAGATGAACTTTGACTGAACTTAAGGCCGAACCATATTTAAAAAAAATAAATAACCCAGGATAAGGAGACACAATAGCAGATGCTGCAACCATCTGTTCTGGGACAGCTCTAATCAAAAACTTCTTTTGGTCTATTGTATGTTTCTCCATTAGGTAGAGGTATTCTCTCTATGAATGTGGTGTGCCTGTGGTGAGATATGAACAATAATGGCCCTGACCTCCAGGTGAGTTGTCCTCAATCCCAGAATTTTAATATGCAGCCTGGCTTCTACAGCAGTTGAAATTCTGTGTGTAATCAAGTGATTGAGTTAAGCACTCCATCCTAACCTTAAGGCATGTATTACAATCACTATCAAATGAACTTTAAGGATGAGCTGTACTGCTCCACGTAATTTGTTACATATGTGAGGGAATCCCTAATTTCCCAAGGAATGGTCACTGCAGACTAGATGTTGTTTGAATGAGGTAAACAGACTGCACTTAAGCCTTACTGCAGACGTTTGGTTCTGATTCTGGCAAAACCATGATTTAAAGTGGTCATGATTCCAGCATTTTGACTTTCCTACTCCCCATATAATTTTTTAGAGTAGGACCTAAGTTATTATTTTAAATAGGAATCACAGTGTTCCAGGGATGGTGCAAAGTCACAGATTAGTTTCTATGTCTGGGACAAGATCAGTGGGTATAGGTCACCACTCAGGTATAATAAAATGTTGACTTCCATAAAAGACAATAATCAGGATCAATTTTTTATACCCATCCACTGGGATAATGATATTTAATTATTTTTAACGCGGAAATACATTGTTTGGAGGACAATGTGTATATTATGGACTAGCTGTTGAATTTTGCTAGCAAATCATCAAGTATGGGTGGGAGACAAGTGAGCTTCTAATGCCATTCAACATTTTTTGGAAACTCAAGGGTCAGTTGGTTGTTCAGGAGGAATACTTTTTTCCAGCAGTCATTTTTTGCTAATACAAAGTCTGGGATGCTAACGCTGTACTTTCAGTGGAACTGTTTATGATAAACTTCTCTGAATATATATAATGGAGGAAGGCCCTGAGGACATTCAGGTCTTATTCCTCTGCCAGCTTGAAGGAGCAGAGGGACTGTGTCAGCTGTTCTCTCTGGGCCTGTGTTTTTTTATGTGACCTCACACCAAACATTCAGTTCTTCTGGGAGGCTTGTGTGTTGCTCCACCAAGCATGGCTTTTCAAAGGGTTTGAACTTTTAGCATGAAGAGCACTTGTGTGTCTCAGGAGAAGGTAATCTGTGCAAACAAAACTTTGGGAAACACTTCTAAATGACAGCTGTATGTTTCCTGAGAGTGCTGTTGTATCAAGAAGTCAGTGAACTAGTCTGGAAGTCTGTGGAATTAAATTGTTTTGACAGAGCTGAGTGGACAGGTAATAATCCTAAAGTTTTATGTATTTTGGGGTAGGAGACAGAATTTTTAAAGTTTTAAAAATAATTTTTAACATGATGTTAAAACTGTAATTTCAAACAGATAACATAGTAATTGTGAGTTACTTATATTTCTGGTTTCCTGCATGAAGGGAGTCAAATAGAACACTTCCAAAAAAAAAAAAAAAAAAGAACTTCATGGGGAAGTAGTCTGTGCTTCTCTTCTTTCTTGCTGGTCCTTAATTTAGAGATTTCTCACATAGGATTCCACACGGTGTCTTGAGATCCACCTTCTTACAGATGTAACATTTAAATGGGTTAATTATGATTTTTACATCCTCTCTCAAAGTTGGCAGCAATTCATCCACTGATGGATAGATCTAAGTAAAGATCCTTTTAGTTGAAGAAAATAAAAAAATTATTAATAAAAGAAAATGAGGTTATCACTAAAACATAGGGGGAAAAAGTAATCATAGAATCACAGAATGGTTTAGGTTGGAATAGACCTTAAATATCATCTAGTTCCAACCCCAGGGACACCTTCCACTAGACTAGGTTACTCAAAGCCCTGTCCAGCCTGACCTTGAGCACTGTTAGGGATGGGGCAGCCACAGCTTCTCTGGGCAACCTGTGCTAGTTAGTGATAAAATAGAGAAGGAAAAGTGAACAATCAAATCAAAGTTCTTTCAGATATGCTTTATCCGCTCCACTGGGGCTTGATCTAGAGCCCACTGAACAGGTTCCCTTAGATTTATGAGTTCTCTCTTGATTGTCCCCTTATGATACACATTCTTCTAGCCTGGGCCTGAACTTCAGCTTTACACCACCTTGATACATTATTTCTTATGAGTTCGAAGATGTTAGCTATCTATGTATACAATGTCTGTTTAGGTACATACTGCTGTTTGGTTTTATACTTTGTTATTAATATTACATTAAAGAGGTCCATTTCGGTGGCCTTACTTGGACAGTGTGCACAATACTTCCATACTTGTTTGAGGCATATTATGAAGATACAAAGCACTTCATCAGTTCTAAGTACTGTTTATAATAGGATTTTTTCTTGCATTCCCAAACTACCTAAGATCTTCTCAATAAATTATTTAACCAAAATGGAGCTTTCTGTGGTGCTTAAATGAGAACAGTGTTTCATTGTGTCATCTGGCATGTGAGATAGAGTCATTGTGTATGATGATCTACAAACTAGAAAAGAACTGTAATACTGCAGTTTAGATTATTGAATTGTTACATGTGATCAAAATGAATTTTTCTTTGGTATCAAGCGATCTGATTAGCTCTTTTAACATAAAGCAACAAAAAATGAGAGATTTTGTGCTTTTCATATAGGTTTAATGTTTTATGATCTGCATGTTCATAAACATTGTGGAATATTTATAACTAACCTAATGGAAAAAAACTGATGTTTTGTTGGATCAATATATGTCACAAGTGTGGGAATACTCAGATAGTCTTGTCCAAGTGAATGATAAAAATTCCTTCTTTTTCACAGGTATAGCTTTGCATTTTCAAAACATGAAATATTCTGGAGTTGCTATTTCTTGAATTTGCCTTGCTTGTGGAATTACAGCTTTGCAAAGAGCTGTATTGGCTGGTGCTATGATTTTGTTCACATGTCTTTAGAAAGGAGACAATTGGAAATGATGATATCACTGTTTTACAGGTAGCCAGCACCCTTGGCTGTGTGAATTTTGGCTGAGAGGACGAGAAGTGCTGCAACCCAAGTATGATTCTACCGCCAACTCCATCGATGTTTCATACTGAGAATGAGTAATTAGTTTTCACTAAAAAACTTCAGTAGACACTAAAAATTATAGGTACTGCTACAGAACTCTATTTGCGGGATTGTGTTGAGTTTCTGATAAAATGTGCATCAAAATTAAATTTATTTTCAAATGGTGGCAAGCGTAAAAAGTGTCTGAATCACCAAGCTTTTGGAAATTTACTGATTACACTGATAATACTCGAATGAGATACATAATGAAACAGAAAGTTGAATACGATTATTTTAAGAACCTTTATTATTTAAATCAGTTTAATATATCTCTAGTCTTTTAAGCTCCTTGGAAGTTAATTTTCCATGTGTATTTTATGTGTATTTATATGTTGCCCTGCACAGTGGTAACCTACATTTGATTTTGTCATCTAATTCCTATTACAGTAATCTGTGGAGTAATATTAGAGTGAATTTTAAAGAAACTATGGAAGTATAGAAATTATAGAAGGAACATTTATTACAGTAGTGTTGTATATGGAGAAAATGCATGCTTGCTTCTTTTATTAAATGAAATATCTGTAGGTAGTAATCAGGAATTGTTGAACTCTGGTGTGAACTCTGAGCTATAGGTCATATTAAGAATAGTGACGTCCTGGTCTTGTCCTGTCTATAATTCTTAGTAAATGAGTAAAGACTGTGTGTTACTAAAAAAAATCCCAAACCCAGAAATGTTGAATTAATAGGTTGATTCATTTACTTACTGATTGTATTAATGTAGATTTTAAATTTGGGAAAAGGAAAACACAGCTCATTACTTCTCTAAGAGACTGAAAATTTCTAAGTTCCAGAAAAATTGAAAAATTCTAAGCTTTTAAAAAGTCCTTGCTCTAACAATTAAGTAAGAAGTAGCTGAGCCTCATTAAAACCAGTAGCACATTTGCCAGAACCTGTAGTGGAGGCAGATTTTTGTCCTTGATGTCTGAGGCATGGAAATTCTGTGATGGCCTTTTCTGGCCACATTCAAGACTTGCTCGTAAAACAGAGGAGGAGGCTCGTCAGCTGTTTGAAACTGTCATGTCTCTGTTGATTTTAGTAATGGTAATTTCTACTAAGAATCTGCCCCAAGGTCTTTCAGTAAAGACCCTTCTGTGATACTTAATTTGAAAGGCAGAGAAACATGCCCACAAAATAAAACCAAAGCGCTTTGTGCTCTATCTTGTGCATTATAGTTTTAGAATATTAAAGTGTAGTGGCAATTCTGTAGCAAAAGAAAGGAAGGTGGCCTGCTAACTAAAGCAGGATGCAATTTCTACCCTCCATCTTCTATGGTCTTATGATGTCCTCTTTGCTAACCAGCCTCTCTTGTATTGAATTACTGTTTTCTCCTCAGTATTTTAAATTCTAAATATAGAAATATTGTCAGTACTTGTAAGGCAGAGTGAACCAGAAAAATATAGTAACATTTTCAGATTATACTTGTAGCACTGGGACTTAAAATAAAAACCCACACGACCCCCTCCCCCCAACAAACAACAGAACCCCCCCAAAAAACACTTAGTGCTGTTTCACCTACGATCTTATGAGCTTTGGTACACATGCACAGCACTGAGAGGTCGTTTCTATGGTGCCACTTCAGAGACAGCCACCTAAAAAAAGTGCTGTTTTGGAGATGCTGTGGAAATACCAAAGATTCTGACTGTTGTTGGCATTAACTGTAGAGGGAGTTCACCAAATCCAAAGAACTGTGAAGCGTTACTTCTCCCGTTTGCTGCCCTGGATGCTTTGCATGTGTCCTGCAGAAAAGCAGTATCTCTTCTTTTTATTGTTGATGTTTCCCTGCTACCCCTCCCCAGAACTCAGTGGAATTCACCTTGCAGAACAGGAAGACTTTTTAAGGCTCCCAGCCTGCTGCATGAACATGTGCTGCATATGTTATTTTGGTTAGCAGTTCAAGTATCCTAGCACGTCCTACTTAATAATCTTATCTGATAAGGCTTGATTGTGCTTCACTGTGTTTAAATTTTTTGGGGAACTGTTTAGATAATGAAAGTGCTCCAGGGCCCGCATTTGTGTAAAACTCCAAAATTAGAAAACACAGCCTTTAGTGTCTCAAGGTTTCAAGATGAGTGAAATACTGAAAGTATTGTAATGTTTAACTCAATATCCTAACATTAGCATACATGATGCATGTGTAAATAATGTCTGTTTGTACTTTCTATATTACGTTTTGCTGGTGTGAGTGTTACACGAAATGGTCAGAAAGCAGTTTCATATCTGCAGAAGGAAAAGGTCATGTGTAGACCACCTAGGTTTCATCATGGCAATAGAGAATTGTATCCTGGATTTTTTTGAAGATTCTTCTGACTTTTTCAGTGTCAAACAGTACTATCAAATTGTAGGTGGTGCTATTTCTCTTTGGAATTATGTTTCCATTAAACAACGCTTACTGAAAATAACATGTCCTCCCAGACTGACAGTCTTACATCCATCTGGAAACAAAAATATCATTAAATCCTAAGAACTGATCCTGGATAACTAATAAGGTTTTCTTGTTGTTTTTATTATTCAGTAGCATTGCAAAATTCTCCTATTTAATTGCTCATGCTTATGCAGTACAAATGATAGAATACAAACTTCCATGATGTTCTCGGCCTGATTCTTAATATCTCAAACCTGTTACTTAAAGGAAAAAAAAATAAAATTCAAGCTACAGACCATAGCAACAAGTAAGGAATTCCAAAGGAGGTTACAGGAACCTTGTTAAAGTTAACATGTTTCAGACCTTCAAAATCCCATACTTCTGGGCACATTCTTTTGCCTCACATCAGAGATATGCATGTGTGGTTGCAGTGATAGCATTGTTGTAGCTGTGGTTGTTTAGGATTTTTTATTTAAATATAACTCTTCCTTTCCCTTCTGCCCTGGCATTATTTTCACTATTCACAGTGTTTTTACTTAAATTCTCATATAGAGAATTTTGATAATTTTAACTGAACAATTCTATTTCTTGTACTTACGGCACTTCATGTGAAACAGTTCTGCCTTCATTTCCTGTTTATTTTTAGTTGCTAATTTTCAGACTTTTTCCATCCCCTTGGGTTTTTTAAAATCCTGTTTGGTACAAACCAGGGTGGTCCAACTGGCAGCCCAAGGAACAGTTCCATCTGGCCTGCTGCATTTGCCAAGGAGGAGCTAGGAAATGCCTGTAAGGGCATGCACTGCATTCACAAGCAAATGTTACCTATTGCTCAAATACATAACAATGCTTAAAGCCCTACTGTTGTGCCATGTCCACCCAGAGAAAAGAGATTGGCAATAGACATCCCTTTTCTGAAGCACAGCCAGGTGTCTGGAGGGGCTAGCTGTCCTTTAAAAATAGTCTTTAAAGAGGATGCTACGAGTGGAAGCTAGCACCTGTCCCTAAAACTAGACCACTGTTTTTCCTGGTTAGATAAGTAAACTAGTAGACATGAGTGACAGGAAATCCCTGCGTAAGCCCCAGAAGTCTTGGGGCTATTTAGACTTCTAAAGAAAGCCAATGTTATTAATTCATGGTATAATTTCTGGCTTTGCATCTGACTTCCATAAGTACCCTCTGTCAAGTCACTGTGTCTTTTTCCTTTACACAAGATAGGCATGATGATAATAACCAAGCACCAAGCATTGAAAGCACCATGAGAACCAAGTATATGTTGTCAAATTGACAACATTTCGAAGGATTTTGTTTGGCTACTTTACACATTTCTTTTTGTTGGGGAATATTCTACATTCAGATGCACATGGGTGCCTCACTTGAAGATCAAGGCACCTGCCAGCATGCAATTCCTCCTAAGAAATTATCTCAAAAGATGAATTTATCCCACATACTCCATTATGTTGTACAATAATATCCTTTATTTAATAAAATGAACCCAACTAAGCATGAGGTATAAGCAATGCCTCATAAAACAATAATATCAGATCTTTTGTTATGTATTCTATTTCCATTAAAAATATTTATAATGACTAGCAAGAATGGGGCTCACCACAGCTTGGCAAAAGGCTGAAAGAAGCAGTCAGTAGCAATATACCCAAATGTGCATTTATTTTACCATATAACATTTTGTGGTGGCAGCAGAGCTCTGCTACTTTTAGTATTGTTATTCAATATACTGAAACACATAGACTTATCAAAGAGCACATACTAGAAAAAAAACACCATAATTCATCTCTTTATTTTATGATAATGCCTTTTAGTGTCCTGCTTACCTTTGTTGTAGAGAAACACCAGATTAGTGTTCCTAACATATAACCCCTTTCTTGTTTAGAGTATACAGCAGCACAACTGCTCTATTCACTCTGTGCTCATTTATTTAAAAAGTATTTCTTCTGTTTATTGTCCCACGCCCTCTGCTCTGATCTGTAGTGTTCCCCATTATGCAGTGTATCTCCAATTTTGGTTAAAAACACCCCTTGTATCTGATACAGATTATCTCCCCAGGGGTTTGGGGTTTTTTTGGCCTTGATTAATCTCCTTTGTTTTCTGCCTCCTCTTTGTTTTTTCTTATTGTCTACTCTTTATGCTGTCTATAGCTATGGTGTTTTCCCCAAGTCTTTCTTTCTTTTTCCTTCTTTCCCCCTTTCATGCTCAGCTCTGCATTTCACACTGATTTACCCCTGTCTGCCTTTGGTGTTTCTTCCCACTCTCCAATTTTCTCTCCATATCCTTCAGTCCATCTTTTCCCTTTTCCTTGTGTTCTGTTAACTTTACTACACTATTCTACATCCCTCTTTTTTTTCCTTTCTCTTCCCTAATGGTGTATTACATCTGGGAGATGACTGATGATGACAGAAAGAGGAAAGGAAGACAACTGCTGAAGGAATTAAGGCACAGGGTAACTTTCAGAGAAGACTTTTGTTCAGAATTTAATTGAATGGAAGCATCAAACAGGAACAGCAGCAAAAAATCCTGATTATTTATGGTTAATTATTCATTTTATTTTTTTTCTAAAATCACAGTCAGCAATGTTATAAAAGGAGTATGTGACAGCATACTTAAAATAGATAAAGCTCA